CTATATAATTCACAAGACATGTACACATATATATAGTAACATAATGAGTCTAAACCTAATCCTACAAAATATATACAAAATATATTCTAACCATATATACAAAATATATTCCAACAGCTGAGAAAGCGTTAATGTAAATTTGTTAATGTCAAGGTTTGAAATTTTATAATTTACATTGCACTATCAGAGGCGGCTCCAGGGGGGAGGCAACCTAGGCATGGGCCTAGGGCCTCTATTTTATTTGGGGCCTCATTATTTTTTTTTTTTAATATTATGTATTTGTGTTGAATTTTGTCTATTTATTGCCTCATTATTTTTTTAATATTATGTATTTGTGTTGGATTTTGTCTATTTACACAATATTTACACAAATAAAAGTGTTAATGGCTAAATATGGACTTGAGTCATTACACAAATGAAGGAGCTAATGACAAAATATGTAGTTTGTGTGGAAAATTGAGGCCCTAAATATTTCATTTGTTTTCGTATGATGTTCGTTCAGAACAAGTTGTGTAAAAATAAATATTCTTTGTAGTGATACGATTTTATTTTCTTCTCTTCGTTGTTCTCGTGATTGGTTGATTGTAATTTATTAAAGATCTTTGTAGCCCGGAGGTAATTTATCAATTCCAAGTTCAAGAAAAACAAGAAAAATCTTTTTTTTTTCATTTATTTACTTATTTATTTAATAGTCTCGTTAAAATTTATGATTCTATCTGCGAATAGCCTTAATTACCACGTAAGTTCAAATCGAAAAAATTCGAAAAGAAAAAACTTGTCTAGGGCCTCCGAATCTCTTGAGACGGCCTTGTGCACTATTATCATGTATAATTTTATAATACAACTTTATATTTTTTTTATGCACATTAAATTAAATTTATGATTATTAAAAAATATATAGTCCCCCGAAAAAGAAATTTCTGGATCCGCCCCTGTCCGGCAGCTCCAATCGCCATACGGGAAAGGTGCCGCTGCAGCTCCTGTCGCGATATATGTATATATATATATATATATATATATGGGATTGTAGACAGCGTCTCCGAAAATATCATGGCGGAAAGGGTCGTATCGGTGTTATCGATGATCGAAGATGGCGTCCAGGTGGCCGAGCACGGCGGATAGACGTGAAGTTCCGGCAGCTTCACGCAGCAGTTTTTCTCCGGCGATAGCATGGCCGTTCTACGTCGTTGTGAATTCTAAACAGACGTCCGGTAGTTAGGCGGCCTGATTCCGTCGACTCGACGGCGGCAAGATGGTGCTGAGGTCGAAGCTCTCACTTCCATGGTGGACTCTTTGTGTTGTGCCGCGTACGTACGAGGAAGGAGGAGGAAACAAAATCCTACAAATTACCTTGATCCCTCAATTTAAATGCTGGACTGGGCTGATTTTATCAGCCAGCATGGGCTGACTATATGGCCCAACAGCAACAAATAAAATGGGCCTAAAAAACAATCTTTTGGCTCGTCCTAGTGCACTGCGGTTTTCGCTCCTAATAATTATTTCGATCCTATTTCTATCAAACACAAAATAAAATATCTTCATCATAGCTTAATAACATTAATTAATTAAATAATAATATATAACTACGACAAAATGGACACGAAAATCAATCTAAAATGCACGTAAAAATGACTTATGTCAATGGGTTAAACAAATGAATCGAAAACCAATCATCTATTCTCCCCTTTCTGATTTGAAAACTTATGATCAATTTCATCCAATCTTGTGTAGTATATCTTGTTGGAGTATACTATAAAACAAACTTTTATGTACAACTTTAAGAATGTTTTCATTCGGTTGAAATAAATGTTTCCACATTGTTGCACTCTTTATGATTGCTTGTATGCTAAATGTCCAATTATCTTATATTATAGACAATGTGGTGTATTGTAGGCAAAGTGGTGTGTTAGTAGTCACACCGAAGATTACATTGTTGGTTCCTTATAAGATATAAACTAGCGCGTAGTCCGTGTGATGCACGGGATGATATATTTTCATGAAATGCTTAACATATGAAATATTAAAACTCTTAATTTATATATATGTGATAAAATAAATAGATCTCAAAGAAGAAAAAAATATAAATTATTGAACACTCTACGTGAAGTAAAATTTGTGAAGCTTTGATATATTTGATTATCAATAGAAAAATATGAAATACTATCTGCGTACGTTTGATATAGATGAGAAGATTTACATGGAATATGTAAAATAAATGTTGAGACGATGATTTACGTAGTATATATAAAATAAATATTGACATGATGTGAGAGGATTATGACGAATTATGACATAAATTTGTTTAAAAGTTGAGTACAAAAATTAGATTTTTTTATTATTATTTACGTAAAAAAGAAATTTGTACGCTCCCTTATCATAATTTATGAATTTTACACATACAAATCAAAATTCATACAAACCAAAATATCACATAAAAATAAAATGCGATTTTTATTTATCTAAGATTGAGTATATTGCCCGGAAAATTCGTTATAAATCTTATTATCTTTTTATGCATATAAATATTAAAAATACGTAAAAAAATCTTATATCACATATGTAAAAACTATCTAAAATATTTTATATTATTTTTGAAATATGTGTGAAGTCACCAAAAAATTACATATCTCGTTGTCTTTTTTTTTTTTTTT